TAGGCCCCAAATATCTGAAGAACCACCTCCTTCCCTACAGACCCTCTCAGGTGAGGGGACGGTAGTGCGGGAGAGGGCCTTCTCTGTGGTGGCCCCTAAGCTGTGGAACTCCCTTCCCACAGAGGTGTCTCTGGCACCTTCATTGTGCAGCTTCTGGTGAATACTGACAAGGCACCTCTTTACCCCCAGCTTTTGACACTTGAGGTGTATAGTTTTAGGAGCAACTTTCTTTTTTATGTTCGGAACTTGTTTTAGACTGTTTTTAATCTTGTGTTTTAATGTTGTAACCCGTCCTGGGACCTTAGGATGAAGGGGGGGGTATAATAAATAAGCATTTTTAATGGGTCTACTCTGAGTAGAACTAACATTGGGTACAACACTCTGTTTTGTGTTGTTCCAAATAGGGACCACAATGCTGCAGGAGGGAAGGTTTAACGCTTTCCTCCTCTGCTATCAACTGGGGGGGGGGATGCAGGTGTGGGGAAAAATAGATGCATCTGCACAGCAAATAGCAACAGTAAAATCCTCCCATTGGCATCCCATTGGAGATGCTTCCAGATTGCTGCTGCTTTGGGGTGGATTCAAATCACATACCGGCAAATGCAGGTTGTGCAATTAAAGTGGATTTGATGCTCTTGTGCAGCGAACTGACTTCCCCAATTCTCCACCGCAATGCTCTCATTCTCTTGCTCAGCCTTGGTCCTTGCCTCAAGTTCAGCATCAGCAGGCACCACCCTTAAGCAGCTGCAAAGCGGCCCTTCCCGACACATCCCCCCCACCCTGCTGCTTTTGGTGCATGCAACAGACATCATGATTTTTGTGCCCAAATGGGGAATGCAGAGGTTGCGAATGTGATGTTCTACAGATGTAGCTGGACTCCAGCTCCCATCAGCCCCAACCAGCATGGCCAAAGGCCAGGGGTGATGATGGGAGTTGTGGTCCCACAACATATGGGTGGCTGCCTGATGCTCATCAGACAGACATGGGAAGCTGCCTTCTATCGACTCCATCTAACTCAGTATTGCCTCTGCAATGATGGCAGCCGCTCTCCAGGGTTTCAAGCAGTGCTCTCTCCTAGTCTTACCTGGAGATGCCAGGGATTGAACCTGGGACCTTCTGCATGCAAGGCAGAGGCTCTGTCATTGAGCTAACATCAGTGGCATCCTTCTTTAGCAGCAAGCCCTCCCATCTGCCCCCACTTCCAGCCATAAACAAACAGGAGGAAAAAAAGGGCTGCCTGCTGATATTTGGATCTGTGCAGACATAGGGGTGCTTACTAGGCCCCCTTCATACATTGAGCTGGTCCTGTTCTATAATTCAGGAACAAGACCCTGAGTTGCAGGGGGTTGGATTAGATTACTCTTTGAGTCCCTTCTAATTCTACAGTTTTCTGATTCTAAGAATAAATTCCATGCTCTCTTTACACCCCCACCCGTTTAGAATCTACAGTGTGTTCAGACTCTGTAAGCCAAAACCAGGAAAGTATTTTTCTAAATGCATAGCCTTGTTAGAAAATGTTCTGGTTTGCAATAATGAAAGCACTGTACGCGAAGCAATGCAATTAACGGTTGCTTTGCGTCGCTTCCCCGTCTGATTAAACAAATAAAAGTCATGCCACTTTCCTTTAACTTATTTCCTCTGGTGTCTGTGTGTGTTTCCCCTCCTCCCCAGACGGCCTCAGAATTACACCACCATTGAGCTGAACGACCGCTGTGAGTTTATGGCAGACTTCTGACTCTCCTGGGAACAGCCTTCACCAGGAAAAAGCTATTTCTGTAACTGATGAGAAGCAGCAAAAACCTCTGAAAAGCAGCTGTGCTGGTTGTCCAGCAATTGCACACACGGACCAAGAATGTAACATTGGACGTTTGAAAAGCCCTGGGTTTATTTATTGTTGTTGTTTGTTTACTTCCCATCCTTACTGAGAGATGCATGAAACTTGTGTTTCCAGGACATTTTCTGCTTTGTCTCCCCACTGCTCTTGTGTATCTGGTGTGGAGGGGGGTGTTTTGCAGATTTTCATAGTGCACAGCCTTGATTTTGCTTTGTTTTGTGTATGCAGGGTTATAATTCTCGTCCAGCGGTGGCTGGTCCCCATTGGGACTGGTAAGGCAGAAGGTAGGGAGGGCCAACAGTAGGTGGCGCTGGAACCAATGGCACCTTTCGTTTAAAAGGACCAAAGATCAGGTGCTGTGAAAGGCATCTGCCAAGAACCTGGAGGGCTGCTGCCAGTCAAGAGTAGAAAGTACTGGGCTAGATGGGCAGAGAGTTTGATTTTGTATATGGCAAGGGCTGTGGGTCAGTGGTAGAGCACATCTTAGCATGCAGAACGTCCCAGTTTCAATCCCTGGCATCTCCAGTTAGGGCTGGGCAAGACCCCTGCCTGAAATCCTGGAGAGTCACTGCCTGCCAGTGTAGACAGTAGTGAACTAGATGGCCTAATGATCTGTCTTGATAGGCAGCTTCCCATGGCTGAGTCAGAGGCAAAAAACCCTTAGGAAAGGGTTTATCTGTTGCAACATTTCATTCTCCCCTAGAAGCAAACCAAAGATGAGTTGGGACACTTGGCACCAAATGAATATCTCCTCCATCCCTTTTCTTTACCTCCATAATTCCCTGCTCTGTATAGGCCCCTTTTGAGCCACTAGTTTGCACCAGTGTTTTCCTGTTTGTTTGTTTGTTTGTTTGTTTGTTTGTTTGTTTGTATCTTCAAGATTTTATATGGTGCTTGTATTCACACATGGGACTGGAGAGAGCGAGGGTCCTGTGATTTGATCAGCTACTGCCCTCTGCTGGTCACCCCCAACTACAGAACCTGGTGTTTATTATGCTGCAGAAACATTCTGCTGGTTCAGTAACGACTAACTTCACTGATGGACGCGGGTGGCGCTGTGGGTTGCCGATCAGAAGGTCGGTGGTTCGAATCCCCGCGACAGGGTGAGCTCCCGTTGCTCTGTCCCAGCTCCTGCCAACCTAGCAGTTCGAAAGCACGTCAAAGTGCAAGTAGATAAATAGGTACCGCAACGGCGGGAAGGTAAACGGCGTTTCCGTGCGCTGCTCTGGTTTGCCAGAAGCGGCTTAGTCATGCAGGCCACATGACCCGGAAACTGTACGCCGGCTCCCTCAGCCAATAAAGCGAGATGAGCGCCGCAACCCCAGAGTCAGCCACGACTGGACCTAGTGGTCAGGGGTCCCTTTACCTTTTAACTTCAGTACTGCGATGGCCACATTTTTGGACCTACGGGCGCATTTATAAACCACAGAAACCATTGTTGTGGGCACAACAACCAAGCTTACACAAGCAGTCTATGGGCTACAAAAGGACACTTCTTCCCATAATAATTTTGGGAGGGGAGGGGGTTGTTTGGGTCCCAGTGGCACCCTGTTCCACATGCTTGGGCATCATGCATACTGCAAAGAGCAAGCGCTGCTCTTTATTATTTGTGTTGTCCCTACAGGAGCTTGGGGTGGGGGGTAAATAGAATGTACCAGTGTTATTAGTACCAGAGGTAGCCCAACTGCATAGGCTCCCATTTAGGGCAGAGGTAGTGTTATGTGGTGCCCCATAGATATTGTGCTCAGGTTAATTGTGTATAAGACTGCAGCCTTACATGCCCTTTTGATGCATGTGGATTTGTTTTGTGGCATTTTACTACACCCCTATGATGCAGTGGTATTTGGCTTTGGGCAGTAAAAACCTGTCTTAAGTTTCTTTGTGCTGTTTTATTAAGGTGAAGAAGCCTTAGACAAAAACATGTGCCTTTTTGCTTAAGGGCACAGTAAGTTATATTGACAAGAGCGAGGGGAAAGTGAGGTTCCTGTTGTGTTTCCAAGAACGCAGGTAAGTACAGAACGGCTGCCCAAGAAAAATCTGGTTAAAAACAGAAGTCAGAAATGTGAAGACAATCCAAACACACATTGCTGGAGGTGCAATGAAACCAAAACAGGTGTATTTACATTTTTGAACTGTGCAAAAATAAAACCTCTCTGTATAACAATTATGAACATTATGCTTTTATGTATGTTTTGATCCAAACTTATAAAACACTGTTCTACAACTTGTAGCCAAATCTTCCTGTATTTTCTGCAATGGCAATTTTTTTAAAAAAAAACCAACATGGGAAAATATCTAATCTAGCCACATTAATTTAACACTCATTGTAATCTGTCTTCACTTTTTGATTTATTGAACTTATTGCAATGTGAAGTTTATATTTAAAAAAATAGTAATTTTAAAAAGAACAAATTATGAAAACAAGGCACACGTGTGTAAATAGACAATTTTATTCTGAATGTGGTTGCACAGGGCCTTGATACAGGTCATAAGGGGCAAGGTACTCCCCAACCAATCCTGTGCAAGGTATCCCACAAAGAATTGGGACACAGCTCACACCCAGCCTTTGCCAGCATGCTGCCCTATGCTGGCTGTGACTGATTGTAACTGTAGTCCTAAACACCTGAAGGGCATTCAGGTATGCAAAGGCTGTTCTGACCCCATTTACTTTGCAACTGCCCCTGCCATACGAGTTTGACTTGCAGGATTTAGCGTGTGTGTTTTTCTAGAACCTGCAGATCTACTAACCGTAGCCAGGTGCGAAAGGCATACCGTATTTTTTGCTCTATAAGACGCACTTTTTCCCTCCTAAAAAGTAAGGGAAAATGTGTGTGCTGCCCTCCGGAGGCTTCACGGGCTGCAGCGCTCCGTCTCGCTGTTCTGGCTTCTGGGGCAGCCTGTGAAGCCTCCGGAGGGCAGCGGGAGCTCTTGTGGGAAGTGGGGGGCTCTGTTCCTTCCCCCACCTCCCAGAAAAGCCCCCAAGAACCACACTCCCTTTAAAGAGCGCGTGGTTATTGCGGGAGATGGGGGAAGGTACAGAGGGCAGCTTACCTGCGTGCAGCCCCTTCCAGGCAGGGGGAGCCTTCATCCCGCTGCCCGGAAGAGGCTTCAGTGGCTATCCCAGAAACCAGAACAGCAAGAGGCTATCCCAGAAGCCAGATCCCTCTTGCTGTTCTGGCTTCTGGGATTCCCAATTTTTTTTCCTTGCGTCTTAGGTGCGTCTTATCGTCTGGTGCGTCCTATAGAGCGAAAAATACGCTACACTTAGAACATAAAACAACTCACTCATTACCTCCACTGCCATCCCCGTAGTCCTTGGTCAGATAAGCTCCATCTTGAACTGGCTGAAGCTTGGCAAGGGTGGCGAGGGGTCAGCCACGTTGTAAGGAGTACAGGGGGCATGGGCAGGGACTGCCCCGTGGCCAACAGTGGCGCTGAGCTGCTGCAGCGTCATGAGAAGCTCCTGTTGGAAGCGCTGCTGCTGCTCCTGTTGGCGCTCCAGTCGGCACTGGCGCTCCAGCACCATATGCACAGCCTGCGCAAGCTTCTGGACCTCAGTGTGCACTGTATCCAGTTTCTCTGCAAGCGGCTGAGGGTTGGCAGCAGGTACCAAGGAGGTAGTCATCTGAGCTCCCCACTGAGGATTCTGATGAACTGGAGGGTAGGTGGGGTTAAATGTACAAGTCTGAGTACCGGCATCTTTAGTCTAGAAAGGGAAGGGGGAATCCAAAAAAGAAGAAGAAATGGCAGGATACCAAACAGTTATTCTCTTATTCAATTAAAGACTCTAGCTCAGGAGTCACAAACACCACAGGTGCCAGGATGCCTCTTCTGGCGTTTGCGGCAGGTCTTCATAAATATCCCCTCTGAAATCCACCAAACACCAGGGATTGTTTGCTCTTCCTGCTCAATTCCTGTTTGCACCGTCTCAGCTTTTCCTACTTTGAGCATGTCCCCTTAAAACATGTCAATATTTCATTGGATACCTGGGTTGGCATCTTACCCTCTGTTCAGAGAGGTGCAAAGAGCTTCTCTCTGCGAGTGAGCATGGTGGTGGCTGATGTAGCTGCCTCCCCCCCCCCCTTGTTGCGAGAGGAGAGGGAGAGCACGCCCGCACCATTTTGTGGCTCTGTCTCTGTCTCTTCCTTTTTAGATGATGTGGCAATTATCCCATGCCCTCACGGCAGCCATTTTGTAACTGGTGCCCATGGCACTTTCTCAAAATTCCAAGCATTCCCCAAAAGGTCAGTGGCCCCCTGCCCTAACTCTTCCCCAATTGGGTTCTGAAGTTCTTACAGACTCTCTTACCACCTTAATGCGCACAATCCTTCAACTCCCACCCCCGCCCCCAAAAAAACAATGAACCTCCCTTTGCTTGGGAGCCTTTTCTCTTTCTGACATGTATTAAAGCATGCAAACTCCACATCACTTACATGTGCAGAGCAGCCAGAAGATGCCATCGGGAGAGGAGTTGTCCCCCTGGAAGGATGGCCAGTTGGCTGCACCCTCATCATGAAGGGCAAACTGGGTGTAGAACCAGATGAATTCTGCCCGTTCTGTACATTTGCCTAACGGACAAGTGAGAAGGCTCAGTTTCAGCTTAAGAACTGTACTTCTAGAAGATGAAAAAAGTGCAGGTGGGGAACCTTCCATTCAGTTCAAGGGCCACATTCCGGTCTGGGAGCGAACTACATCCCAGCCACGCAAAAGGCAAGAGGGTCGTCTCCAGTCACTTTCAATATGTCTACTCTGAGTAACACTTGGCTAGATACAATGCAGAGGTTTGGCACTCATGTAGCACTTCTATCCATCCTGCATCCACCCTATGTATAGTTTGCTCTAGGAGGCTTGGTCTGGTCAGAATCGAGTATACAACTTCCAGAGTTAACACTAAATTCATTATTTCTGAATAAATAAATAAAAATTTGTTCAGTAGCACCTTAGAGACCAACTAAGTTTGCTCTGGGTATAAGCTTTCATGTGCATGCACATTTCAACCGCGTCAGACCAACACGGCTACCTACATTATTTCTGGTAAATGAGCCACCATAGCCACTAGAGGGCCATGAAAATTTGTGTCCTGGGCTTTTTAGACTGGTTGGGTGGCGCTGTTGGTTAAACCACAGAGCCTAGGACTTGCCGATCAGAAGGTCAGCGGTTCGAATTCCCACGACAGGGTGAGCTCCCGTTGCTCGGTCCCTGCTCCTGCCAACCTAGCAGTTCGAAAGCACGTCAAAGTGCAAATAGATAAATAGGGACCGCTCCAGCGGGAAGGTAAACGGTGTTTCCGTGTGCTGCTCTGGTTTGCCAGAAGCGGCTTAGTCATGCTGGCCACATGACCCGGAAGCTGTACGCCGGCTCCCTCAGCCAATAAAGTGAGATGAGTGCCTCAACCCCAGAGTCGGCCACGACTGGACCTAATGGTCAGGGGTACCTTTACCTACCCAAGCACTAACGGAATCCAAAGGGTTGCATTGGTTCCTACATGTGAAAAGAAATATCATTTCTCATACCCCACTGAAGGACACCAGACCCATCCTTTCTCTAGGGGTTGCATGAAACTACTCAAGAATAATAGGGCTAACATAGGATTCTACTCTGGGCTTCCAATCATGGTCATTTCTGTCTCTCTCTCCCTCCCTTTCTCTCTGTGCCCTTCCTACCTTTTTCTGGAGATGGATGGCGCGGCCTACGATCTTCCTCTTCACAATCAAGGCAGGATTCCGGGCAGGTGGAAGAAAGGCCTTCCCTTTGCCATTCAGATTATGCTGAGGAACTGTAGGTGCAAATGGAGTCAGGCAGCTGGGCGACACAGAAGGTTTTGGCCCTGGGCAGTTGTCACCTGGAAGTGAAGAAGATAAAGAAGTGAAGGTGCCTCAGTGTCATCCCAACAGAGAAAAGCAGGGTAGCGAACCAATATGGTGCCTCCCAGATGTTCTGATGGGGACACATGGCCAGGAACGTGTGATACCATTGCTAAACATCTGCACTGGCTGCTCATCTGCTGCCAAACCAGGATTAGGGTCCTTGTATTGATTTACAAAGCCCCGAACAACTTTAGGTCCAGGGTACCTTAGGGACGGCCTGAACCCTTAGATTGATCACTGAGATCATCTGCAGGTGTGTTGATGGCTGTCTCCCAAGTTGGTGAGGCTCATTTGACATCAACACAAAACAGAACCTTCAGTGTTATTGTCAGTCCAGTGCTATGGAATACTCTGTCCATGGCAGCTGCCTTCTGTTTCAACCTTTAAACACCTGAAAACTTTTATCTTCCTCCAAGCCTATGCAGACAATTAAGAATGCATCTTCCCATAATTGTTAATTGATTCATTTATTTTTAATGTGTTCCTTAGTGCTGTCAATCGCCTTTGAACTCTCCATCAGTGCTGATTAACCGATAGGCACTGACAGGAAGCCCCACTTGCAAAGAAATTTGCAGCAAAGTCTGTACCTGCCCCACACGAATGTTCACATGTGACAAGTGTGGGGCAAGTGGGAGCAGTTTCTGAGGAACAGCCTCATGGGCCAAATTGGGACAATGTGCCAGGACGAATTAGGCCCATGGGTTTGGTGTTACCCCATTGCTGCCTTAAGCCCTGGCCATTAAGGGCTTCATAGGTCACATGGCACTCAGAACTAAACTAGAAGCTATTACCCCTTAGAAGTGCTACTAAACCGTCACTCACCCTCCAGCCCAGAAACCCATAGAAATTGGACCCCTGACAGCCTGCACTTGCAGAGGGTGGTTGCTGTGAGCAAAGGTTGTGGGAGTTTTCTTAAACAGGCCTCAAGCAGAAGCCAGCAGCACATGTGAACAAAGAGGCTGTGCAAAGCTTTACCCATATTCTGGCCCAGCTGAGATCCGCTGGAGAGGCCCTCATGGGAGGCACTCTGCTTCCCAAATGGCCCTCCATCCTTGCTCAAGGAAGTCACGCTAATTATTTTGATGTGCTCCTCGCCATCACAATGGCCGTTACAAGGCGGCACCTCATAGCTTGGGCCAACTCCTGCCACAGAGCCAGCAGCCTCTCTCTGCCCATGGTGCTCAGTCTCGTTTTCCTGCAGTAACTTCCAGAGCTGGTTGTCCTCCCAGCCAGCTTGGTCCACAAGAGTCTTCCTGCTTCCGTTCTCCAGAGCAGGTTGCAGAAAAGAGACAGGTGGGGGCTGGCTGGGCTCAATGTTCTTGCGCTTCAGGAACAGGTAGATGGCTTGCGGGGTGACCCGGATGTTGTCCAGTTCTAGCACCTTTTTGATCTTGCGGAAACTCAAGCCAGCTTTGCGCAGCTCCACAATCCGTTTCTTGGCATTGTCGTCTAAGCGACCCATGGTGGGGCCAAGGACTTTGGCCTCTTCCTTTAGTCAAATGGACAGTGGCTACATTCCAGAAGAATATGCCGTTTTCAAGGTAGGGTACGTTAACAGCCAACAGAGACCTTGATGTGGACGCTGCTAGATTAGCAAGTCAAATGGGTATAATGGTACTGGGGAAACAACCAGTGTTCCTTCCAAGGTCACGATCACTGTTGCACTGTCCTACAGAAAGCCACTGCAAAGGTTAAATCCATTCTGAAATCCAGCAGAGATCACCAGCTCCTGAGCTGGCCAATGGCCTTTTCCATAGAACAAACACTTGTGTATTTTTGGATTTATATCTCCCCTTCATCTTCTGAAGGAAGTTAAAAAATATATATCCTTTTTCTGTAGCAAAGGAAGTGTTATGTACTGAAGTTCTCACCCTGGGCCAGCAGGGGGATACTGTAGATAGTTTTCACTCGGGTCCACGTCAGTTATTTTAGGCAGGAAACCCTGGGTTGTTGTTGCTACAATGTTGACAGCCGGCTTCCTATAAAAGCAGGCCGGCTGAGCTGTTTGCTGATCAGTTCTGTTCCAGCTTACAAAATAAAGAGCTGCTTTGGAGAAATCGCTGTGTTGTCTGCCATGTCTACCCACTATTTAACAGGAAGACTCCAATAACCCTTGGGCAGGAGTTAAGAGCATCAGTCTAACCCTGTCCACTCAATGTCCACACAAGAAGAGAAGCCATGCTGGGAAAATCCCTCTCTAATTTCTTGCAGTTTTCTGTTTCTTAAGCAGAACTTTGGGCTGGAAGAGAAAACAAACAAACAAGGATAGAATAAAATTGTTCTCATTAAGACAAGAAGGAGAGAGGGAGAGGGAAAGAGAGAATAGGGCTCTATCTGAACACCTAGATGGACCATCTGGCTGAGAATTAGGTAGCTTCCTAACTTCAGGTTTCCCCTATGATCACACAAACCAGGGTAGCTACCCTGTGGCCTTCCAGGTGGTGTTGGATCACAACTCCCATCATCCCCAGCTGTTGGCCATGCTGGTGAAGCCGACGGGAGTTGGGAGCCCAATGAGACTGGTCTTATTGCGTGCATTTGTTTCTAACATCTGTTGATTTTAACGATAATTTGGTCATTTTATTATGTCTGCTGTTTTCGTTGCTATTTTATACCATTTTATGGAAAGTACTTAGGGATTTTATTGCAAACTAAGTGAATATAAATGCAGCTAAATAAATAAATGCCTCTGGAGGGCCACACTGTTAGCCAGCCCCACAGCACTTAAACAAATTCCAAGGACAAAGCAAGTTAAAGTGACAATATTACAGGATAAGCAGTTGTGCACAGGCAGTTATCAAAAGCACTGTGAGTTGTTTACAGTAGCAGGGCCTGGGGGCTCAAATGGCAGCAAAGTAAAATCAAGCAAGGTTGACCATCAAGTGGAACAGAGGTATGCTCTGCCCCAGATCTTGACACCCCAGTTCGGGGGACGGGACTTTTCTTAAACTAAGGGCCTCATTCCCATCTGGGCAGGGGCTTCAGAAGCGGGCAGAGCAATGGATGCAGATTTTACCTTTGAAGAGTAGACTAGCTTCTACAGCCAGCCCTCCTCTATTTTAAATCCAGCCAACAAGAAGCAGTATCAGAGATTATGGACACATTCCAGCCGGGGGGGGGGGGGGAGAGACCCCAAAACACTCCAAGGCAGCTAGGAATGAAGTAGGGTTGGTGAGAGGCATGGCCAGAGGAAGGTATATGGGGCCACATAGAGAGGTCTGGAGGGCCACATTTCCCTCATTGCTTAATAACATCCTACACACCATTTCTAGAGCATTTTTTGTCTACGTAGAGTCTTCAGAAACAAGGCCTTGCCTCTATGGTTCTCTGCCCTGTTAGGAGGACATTCAAGGAAATGTGTGAATTGTTACTCATGTTGCTACAACAAGCTTTCAAAGTTAGAGAATGTTTTGAAATTCAAGGAACACACATACACACACACACACACCCCTAGCGAGCCAAAGAAGGTTTTTTTTTACAGATGATGCCACGGCAACGATGCACTTTTGTAGGCCAAACACATTTCAAACAGTACACATTGTACAGAATTCATGGGTTATTTGCCCTAGAAGTGAATTGTGATGTTGCAAGGATCTCTTTTGAACAGATTCACGACAGTGGAAGTATTTCCACAGGATCAGAGTCCACCTAATTACATGTCATTACAACCTTTCAGAGAAGCTTTAACCTAAAGACAATGCTGGTTATCCCAAGGAAAGAAAGCAAAATACCATCTGAGATCTTTGACTTACAATTTAGAGGAGGTACAGCAGTTTTCCCTTTTCAATGAAGGTTTAAGGGTTGAGAGAGAAGTCTAGGGGTTCACAGCTGCCTGGAAGCTTCCACCTGGGCCAAGGAACCGGTTACGGTGTTATTTTAGGTAGACTAAAATCTATAAAGGCCAATACCATTTTCTCCTGTAATAAGCACTAACAATAGATAGGGAAAGTAGACTACAGTATCAATTTTTGATAGCAGTTAAAACCCTAACCCTGTGGGCATGTCCAGTGATATTTTCTTTTTGGTCCAAAGACGTTATTCTTATCAATTTTGAACTGGCAAAATCCTAGAAATTTGCAGATATTCATGTACTTTTATATTTCTATTGTATGCTGCTTAATGGCAGAACAACAATAATAGATTTTACATGTCCTAATGGTCACTAAAAGCATGGAACAATAAATATGCACCATCTACTGTGCAGTGGTCCGATGACCTTAACGTCCTTGCAACATTTGAGTGCACTTTCTATGAACACCAACTTCATTTGAAGACATATTAGGACATCTGGATGGCACCTATTGATCTATATGTACAAACTAAGATGACTGTATTGATGTTTATATGTATTATTAATGGCAGCTTTTTTCTATTTTCCTTTACACCCTAGATTAGGATGAACAAGCAGCTGAAGTCCTTATAATGTTCAAACCGTTGCCTAGCTAAGTGGAATGTTACCAGGAGACATAATATTCCTTTACTAACTGCAGTGGGTTGGCTTGTTAAACACAGCAGTTAAGATACTACACTAAGAAAACAGATTTTACTGTTAGGCAACACTTATTAAAGAGTTATACAACATATAAGAAGGTACACTTAGAATCCCTGAAGCTGTCATTTGTTAGGAGTATAACCCACAATCCTATTTCTCCTAAACTGGCTTCTTGCCCGAGGGTACATAATCATCAGGGATTACAGGTTCTGCTGCATTATTTACCTTGAAAGTTAAGAAAAATCTGTTGAAAGAACTGTATGATCTGTATGTCTTCCTATATTTTAATAATCAAGCCAAACTAAAAGGTCACAATGAGGTGCACAAAATATTTTGAATTCATCAGAGCTCTTCACCAAGCCGAATGTGAAGCAAAATAAATAAAGAGTGGGCAGGAAGAGATTGTTAGGGTTTTAGGCTGCAATCCTTAAACATGTCTAACCTGGAAGAAGGTCCCATTTAACTCAGAGGGAGATATTTCTGAGTAGGCATACGTTACCTAGGATTACATTGACACACTGCCTAGGCTTGCGCCTAGTGGCAGTGGTTTGGCTTCACCCCAGGAGGTGCACTCCATTGTCTTTTGGGACAGACAGATGCCAACAAAAATAAATGTATGTATTCCGTTTTCTACCGCAGCTGGCATGCAAATTACATAAGTAAGACTGAATGTGTGTGTGCTTTATTTTCCAGCCAGGTGAAAAATTGTGTTATTTCTGTTTCTATTTATACCCCGACATTCAAGTTTGAATCTTTCCAAGAGAGCTCTCTTTTATTACTTGGGACTGTAAACTAAGAAGAGTTAACTGCACAATCTTATGCATGCCCAGTCAAAAGTAAATCCCGTCGAGTTCGATGGGGCTTACATCAGGTAAGCAGACAAGAGAATTATAGCCTAAAAGGTTTTGATTAATTCGGGGAAAACTTCCTCGCTCCTTTGTAGATGTTTATTGCTAACATTAGCATTGATACCAAAGGTATTACCTGGGGGTTCCTTTTAGTTTGTTTGGTGATGGACAAAACAACAACAACAACCTACCCGCGATTTTTGCACAATTTAATAACAAACGACGAGAGCAATGAGACAAACCTGCTAAAATACAAAGCGCCCTTCACCAAATCTTGACCGAAGAGGCGATCTCCATGCCAGCCAGGTGTACAAAGCTATTCTCTGCACGCTTAACCATATGTTACTCCCACGCGGATCTCATTCTCTAAATTGGTGTAAAGTTGCAATCTTCATAGCCTCCTTCTGTTCAAAACTGTTCCGGCTGCTTCATAAAGGATCGCGCTGCTAAGAGGAGAAACGCCGCTCCGCCAACTCAAATGCTCTTTTTGCACCCCTCTAACCCCGAGTGCTTCGGTTCTGCACAGCCTGGACTAAGCAGCAGCAACGCTCCAAACTTACGCCGCCCTTCTCTCCAACTTTGCACAGTCCCGGGGCTGCTGACGAGGCTTCAGCAGCTGTTCGAAAAGCTCCAGCCTTCTTTGTTTGATTGGGGGAAAGCCAAACTTCGCAAAGCCTGCTGGGAATAAGGTTTGTGTACTTTAGAGGGAGGAGGAGCTCCTCTGTAACCCTTTCAGGGAAAGGGGTCAAGGGGAGAAGCAGCTTAACCCTTGCAGGAGAAGAGTCGCCTTCCTTCAAGGTTTATGTAGGATAAACGTTTGCTAATGTTTGTTTGTTTGTTTAGGCAAGTCTACCCAGACATTTTCCCAGTAGTGATGCATGGAAGTGAGAGCTGGACCATAAAGAAGGCTGATCGCAGAAGAATTGATGCTTTTGAATTATGGTGTTGGAGGAGACTCTTGAGAGTCCCATGGACTGCAAGAAGATCAAACCTATCCATTCTGAAGGAAATCAGCCCTGAGTGCTCACTGGAAGGACAGATCGTGAAGCTGAGGCTCCAATACTTTGGCCACCTCATGAGAAGAGAAGACTCCCTGGAAAAGACCCTGATGTTGGGAAAGATTGAAGGCACAAGGAGAAGGGGACAGCAGAGGACGAGATGGTTGGACAGCGTTCTCGAAGCTACCAGCTTGAGTTTGACCAAACTGCAGGAGGCAGTGGAAGACAGGAGTGTCTGGCGTGCTCTGGTCCATGGGGTCACGAAGAGTCAGACACGACTAAACGACTAAACAACAACAGCCCAGACATATAATTTTATTACTCTATTATTATACAGTTGTTATTATTATTTAAAATTACATCCTGCCCTTCCTTCCCAAAGAGCCCAGGGAAAGAACTAGGTGCTCAATTTAAAAACTGAACCAAGTGTGGATCACCTTTGACCCTCCAGGTGCTGATCAACTACAACTCCCATCAGTCCCAGCAGGCATGGCCCATGGTCAAGGATGGGAGTTGTAGTTCAGCAATATCGGGGTGGGGTGGGGGGGCAAAGGTTCCTCAC